TTTCTTTCTTTCTTTCTTTCTTTCTTTCTTTCTTTCTTTCTTTCTTTCTTTCTTTCTCTTTCTTTATTTTTTTGACAGGGACTTGTTCTTTAACCCAGGCTGGCCCAGAACTCATAATTTATCACAGACTGGCCTTGACTTGAGACAATCCTCCAGTCTCAAGCGCCCAGAGGGTTGGTGTGACAGGTGTGCTCCACCATGCCTGGCTGAAGGCCACTAGGATGAAGAGAGCTGATGGTGTTCTGGGAAGTGGCATAAAGGTTGGAGGTCATTCTGAGGCGGAATGTTCCCAGGCACGGAGCTGTCCTGAGCTCTACAGGTGACAGAGCTGAGTAGGTATATTGGCCGTGACCAACATGACTCATCTCTCTATGGTTCCCTAGGGAGCAGGAGTGCCAAAGGATGTGCCAGAAGCTGTGAAGACTTAAAGCCAGGCACTTTGGCTGAGCAGAAGAGAGCTGCAGCTTGAAAGCTGAGATCCTGCCCCTTCTGGGCTGCCTTCTTCAGTCCTGTCTCTAGGCTGTGTGCCCCTATGGCTCTCCTCTCTGCCTTAGGCCACAGATCTCCCAGCAAGGCTCTCATCCTCCCTCCTCAACTTCTGTTCCTGAGTCAAACTTGCCCTCCAGCAGCACTTCAGGTTGTCCCTTCCCACCACCACCCACTGGCTAAGAGTCACTGTAGAGGGCCAAGGTCAAGAGCAGGAACTCTGAAGCCAGACTGTCCATTCAGCTTTAAATGCTGCATCTGTCATTACTGGCTGCCAAGCGTTGGTCATCTTACTTAGCTGCTCTTCACCTCGGTCTCCCCTGCCATAAAATGGGGGAGGGCGGCAGCAGGACCTAACACATTACTTCACTGTGATGCGTAAACACGCCAATGACAGGTCCATGGGACATCAAGGGGGCGGGAACATGTGGGGCTTGTGAGCACTTGGCTCCTAGAAAGTGCTGGTGGCTGAGTGTTTTTTTTTTCTCTCTCTCTCTCTCTAACCAGCTGTGCAGTTGCTCTGGCTAGATTATGAGTATTTGAGGGGTGGGAGCCCCTTCTTCACATTCTGCACCCTAGAGCTAAGCATTCCTCAAGCGGGAGGCAACGTGAGATGGGGGGGAGGTTCTGGACACACAGGCTGATTCCCCACATGCTTTACTGCCAGATCCTAAGCAGAGGAAAAGGCTCAAGCCTTAGCAATCATTTAGGAGAAGGTACCCATTTTTTTGGGGGGGGGTGGGGGGGAGGAGGTAGTTTGGTAAACTAAGACTCAAGTGGAACAGAGACAGGTCCAGCTGGAGCAGCTGGAGGAGCAGCTGCTGGGGCAGGAGTGGGGTAACAGGAGCCTCCTGGCTGTGGCCAGGATTACTCCATGGCGTGTCCTCCCAGGGCACCCTCTGAAAAAGACCCATCCTTCCAAAGCTGACAAATGGCCGCTCCACTGTGCTCAGAGTGCCAGGATCTTGCACTTTTCTCTCCCACATCTATGCCTGTGGCTTTCACCAGTCTCCCTTCTCCTCTCACCCTGATGGCCTTGAAGCGGCTGGATAGGAGATCAGATTCTAGCTTGAAATAAAGCAAAACAAAATTTGCATCCCTGCTTCCCCCCACTAAGACACATTTCTTTAAATTTACTAACATATTCTCTTGTCAGAGCTAACGTGCATCTTGAAACCATGTTTGCATGGGACACACTCCATAAAAGCAAACAGAGAGAGACACTGGCCTTTTCCTCCCTCAGCTCCCTGGAGAGTCCTGGAGGGCACAGCCACGCACACGCAGAGGTTAGCAAGAAGCAGCACCCTTTCCCAGGCTTCTGGTAGCCCCAGGGCCCCATCACTGCCTGCGCTCCAGTGCCCCTAGCTGCTCACTGCACACCATCTTCCAGCAGTCCCGGCACCTCAACACTCAGGCACAATACAAAACCCGCCACACGAGGCCATGAGTCTTGACTGAAACAACCTTCTCTGTCTTTTTCAGCCTGCTTCTTTACTCTCTAGGCCTTGGACACAGAGGTCTTTCCAGTGTGTGGTGGGATCAGAACAAGGCTCAGCTCTGCGCTGCTTCCCAGACTGGAGAGTCCCCGCAGTGGGCTCTCTTCCTCTCTAAACGAGAGCTAACTACCCTCCATTTCAGCCTCCTTTACTTATGATACTTAGAGCCATGCTATGGGAGTTGAGGGGAATTTTGAGGAGAAGGCTCAAAATCAGTCATAATAACTCAACTGCCAATATGCATAAATAATCATATGAGCAGTCTCTTGCAGGCTAGCAAGCTTCCACTCCTGAGCTGTGCCCCGCCCAGGAGTCAGTATCTTAAGACCCCAGATGACTTAAGGGGATGTAGACCACACTTGCTGACCCTCGCACTCTGAAAAGCCCCCTCACGGAAGTAAGGGCACCTGCTACCGCACAGCTGTTCCACGAGGAAAGAACTGGCATTATTGCTATGCGTGGACAGCAATGCTGAGGCTTAGAGAAGGTCAAACGACTTGCCCCGAGTCACAGTACAAACAAAATCTGCCATTGATTGAATGCCAGAGTGCATATGCTTTATTTACTCCCCATGACACAACACCTCTCACACCTAGCATTTGTGGCCCCCTCCCCCGCCACACTCATGCTGTGTTTGGGACCTGGCTGGAGTCTCAGGCAGGCTGAGCTTGTGCCCTTCCCCTGAGCCACACCCAGTTCTGGACACATTTCTGATTGGCACATATCCAGAGGAGACTATTTTCATCTTTTCCTTGAGGAGTATGAGGCTGGGGATAGTTGAGTGACTTAAGGTCAGACAGTGTGGGAACAGGCCTTGAATCTAGACCCCAGGGCTGGTTTCCATGCTTGGAAACAAATAAGATGCCTCTCATTCTTCACAGTAGCTCTGGAGTTCTGGTCTACAGAGTATGAACGCAGGGTTAGTGAATCGCTGCTCCCTAGGGAAACACAAGACTAGGCAGGTTCTTGTCAGTCTCTGGTCACGCTTTCCTCAACTAAGGACTCTATTGGCATGCTGCGCGTGTATTTCTGTTTGAGGATGGCACATTGCATTGTATATGGCTCATTCACTCCCGCTCACCTCATTGCCACTAGTGCCCGGGCCCTCAGGAAGCTTTAGAACTTAGCTTCCCTGGACAGACAGAGCCTGTCTCACTGTTTTGACACAAACAGTGAAATAGCCATCCACGAAAGAGCACAGAAATGCACTGCGGCACTAAAGAGATGAGCATGAAGGACAGCAAGAGGCCTGGAACAAGGCGGGGATGGGGAGTATGCATGCCAGGTGCTCAGTGGTCACTCTTGTCACTGTGTCTGGGGATGACTGGGCACAGAAGCACCCTGCGCTCACTTCCGATTTCACGTAACTTTTAGCCAGCAGGTGAATCAGAAGAGGAATGGCTGGACTCCTGTGGGGTGGGGTGATATGGGTGGGAACAGAGCCTGAAGCCCCTTCCCTAGCCTCTTGTTGAGGAGGAGGCATTCCTGCTACTCTCTAAACCTCTGGCTGGACCTGGGCAGGACCCTGCCACTGGACTCCTTCTGTTCCAGTACCCCAGTCACTACAGTGGCACCAGGCTGCTCAGAATTCCTGACTCCCAAGCTCATGAGGTCTGGTGGCTAACTCTCTCTCTGTCTGTCTTTCATTTAACCTCTTTGCCCATCAGCCAGAGTTAACGAAAATGCTCTCCTTCCTCTCCGTCCTTCAGCCTGCCTTTCTGCTTGCCTCCTGCTTAGGACATTGGTGAAATCTGAACCAAACACCAGCGCAACTCCGATCAGCTCTGGCTGCTACTGTAGGAAGAACAAGGCAGAAGAAGGCATTTACCCTCCCTTCCTCCTTTAAAAATGTCTTGCACCTTTGGGTAACTTCCCAGGCATGGATCAGAGCTAATCCTGGCCTTTAAATCAGCAGCCAGGCAGGACCCTCCTGGCAGTGCCAGGGTTAATGCAGTGACCTCCTTAAAGCTGCTGAGGAGTCAGGGCTAATTTTACTCTCCTGTGGGCTCTGCCAATCCTCATCTTTGCCCAAGTGCTGGGATATGTTGGGAAGCACGAGTCAGCACTTCCTGTGGCCCAGGAGGCAGTGCAGGCCCTGCTTTTTGCCGAATGCAGAAAACCGGTGACGACCGCTTTAACTGCTTGAGTCTGGAGCTGAGCCCTGAGAGTGCTGGGCGCCATAACCCAGTTAGTGCTGTGCAGAGGGGGCAGGGCGGGGGGGGTGATGCTTGCTTGCTCCCCGCTGACTCCCACCCCGATGCGTCTTGTACTGAGCTGCCCCGAGCTGAGCACAATGAAGGGCCTCGGGGCAGCTCAGTACAGGACTCCTCAGGGAGGGTAAGATCAGAGCTGGCTGCCAAGGCTCTCAGGCACTGCAGCCCGCTGGAGGTCTTCATTGTACACTCCGGCCCACCCCTCCTAGGCCCACTGCCCTGGCACACACCCATCACACACTAGTACAGCCCTTAGCCGTGGAAGACCCTTCAGACTTTCAGAGAAGATACCACCCACCCCTGGGAACTATTGGTTTAGTTCCTTCTGAGACATCAAGGGAGCAGCCCTGTTCTCAGAATAGGGAGAGAACCGAAGCCGTGACAGGTTAGGACTCCAGTGAGGCTGAAGGGATAGCTGGGCATGTTCTCTGACCAAGCACAGCGAGACGTCACAGACTCAACTGTCTCCACTATGTTCTGCAGCATCCTGGCCACCAACCTTGGAGCCCGCTGCTTGGTCCCTAAGGGGGAATGCCAAGATTCACAGAGTATTTTTCACTTCCAGGCCCTATTTTAAAATTATACAGGGACAGGCAGGTGTGGTGGCTCATGCCTTTAATGCCAGCACAGAGGCAGTTGGATCTCTGTGAGTTAGAGGCCAGTCTGGTCTACATAGCAAGTCTCAGGACAGCCAGGGCTATATCAAGACCCTGTTTAAAAATAAACTGTATGGGGTGCGGTGGTGGAAGGTGTGTCTCAGAGGCAGAGTCAAACCTAGAAGCCATGAGGCTCTGAGTTCCATCCCTAACACAGCCCCCCCCCAAAAAAAAAGACAAAAGAAAATATAAACAAGCAAAATAAAACCAAGCCCCCAACTTTGTGTCCTTTCCAGCAGATGGATGTCAAAGGAGATGCATCTGCTTGGAGAGGAAGTTGAGGGGCAGAGACAGTGCCTGGTCTGGGGAGTGGGAGCCCGGAAGTCTGGTTGTAGCTCTGAATTATGCTAAATGCAATGGATGGTGTGGGGGAGAAGCAAGCAGCTACCTCATCAAGGACCATGCCAGGAAGGACAAGAAGGCCGCTGTTACCTCCCGAGGGGCTACTGGAGGAGAGATCACTGTTTGCCCCTTTTCAGGCTGGCCCGCTTCACTATTTGAGCCCCCTTCCTGCCCTCTATCAGGTCCGGCTGCAGTCCACTCCCTCTTAGCTCCACCTGGAGACAGCAGCAGAGACAGAGAGTAGGAATCACATAGGCAGACGAGCAAACATAGGCAGAAGGCGAAAAGGGACAGTGAGGAGGAGGTGGGAAGGCTGTCCACCAGAATGGGTAACCGAAGGTCAGCATTGCAGACTGCAGCAGAGCAGAGCTGAGGCAGAGGAGAGCTCGCCCCGGCCGCCAGGGGCCTGCAGCTCCTTGGTACCTTAGTGAGTTTCATAAAGGACTCAATGTCGGCTTCCAGACCCCCAGGATCTGCCAGGGGCCCCTCGACAATCACCTCCTCGTGCTGCTGGGTGTCGACGGCACCCGATGAATCCACCTGCCGAACGACTTTGCGAACGATCTGGAAAAGAGAGGAAGAGAGAGAGGGCTGGTCAAACCATCAGGGCAAAGTCTGAGATGAACAAGGAAGGTTCCAGCAATGACATCAGGAGAGAGGCAATGGCCTTCTGTTCCTCATCCACTGGGAGCCAAGAAGAAGCCATTCTCTGCTGTCATTTATGGGGAATGCCAGCGGAGCTTGAATCTGGGGAATACTGTTGGGACATCTCGCTAGCCACTGGCGTGGCCATGTGAAGTATGCTTGCCTGGGCCTCTGGCATTCCATTCTGCCTCTTGGAATGGACGGCATTATCATACCTCTCCAGTGCTTGAAGGCAGAGGCAACCCTTTTTATCCGTATGTGTCCCTTCTACTCACCCGCTCCATATTCATTTATCCAGAATGGGAGATGAACATAAATCATGGCTCAGGCCCTTAGGAAGGGACAAGGACAGACGGGGTCATGACCCCATCTGTGAAAAACAGCCCTAATGAAACAATGCATCTCTCCTCTCCTGCGTTCTCCCTTTGCCTTATGTGGCAATGCCTGCCAGACAATGTAACCCTACCGTGCTGATGTGTGCTGCCAGTTTAATGAGTTCCTAGAGCCCTTCTGTTAAGGGAGCCCCCCCTACCCCCAGGACAGTTCCCTGTTCTCCAATAGCTCATCTCAGGGCCAGGCTTCACAGGACTAGGGCTACATGTTTCACGAAAGCTGATCCTTCTGGAATAGGGCAGCTGGAACTATTCACGCTGAGTTAATCTTTGAGGTTATGAGACCCTCAGTGTCCTGACTGCAGGGGACCTAAAGGTCTCAAGCTCCCCCGAGTTACCCTGAATTGCTGAGGTGGTGGGCGGGTCTGCAGCCTGCCCGCCCTGTAAGGGCAACAGCAAGAAGCAGGGGCAAGTTGAGTCCCTCCGCCTTTCGGAGGACTTTGTCTTGCCAGCTTCTCCCCAGCTCAGAGGCTCTGCACTCACCTTTTTGGTGACAATGTTGCCCTGTTCATCTGTGAATTGTTCCTCTGTCACCTGCTCTCCTGGAATATTCTGAAGCTCATCCCCCTGGAATTAGAAGAAGGGAAAGGCCCAGACTGGTAAACATTATTTTTCTAATAAAAGCAGGTGAGGAAATAGAAGAGCAGCAGCCGGCAACAGCTGTGACCAACCAAGCCTGAAGCTCAGCAAAGAGCCCAGGCCAAAGGAGGGCTCCTGCTGTGTCGCAGCACCATGTTGGGCCACGAGCCCTGAGACAGGCTGGGGCCAGACCTCACGCAAGAGCTCCGTGTGCTTGGTCATCCCGATGGCAACAATACAAGGTGATTGTTCCCAAAGAGAAGTATGGGATGGAATGCCACAGACATCACTGCCCTGAAGGTGACCTGAGCTCCAAGGTTGTCCTTACAAACGGAATGGAAGCACACAGCCTAAGTCCCAGGGCAGAGCTTTCTCTACAGCTTAGTGCTGGGCCCTGCGGCAGATCTGAGCAGGTACAATGTGTGGCTGTGGCTCCCAGCACACATTGAGCCAGGGGCCTTCCTGGGTCTTATGGGCTTGCTCCTCTCTCCCGTCTTCACCCCGTGCATGCACCGCTCAGGCGGTCCTCCGGCACCCTAGGTCCAGCCCCCTAGCCTGCCGCTTGCCTGGCGTTTACCTTCAGGAAGACCCGCCGGCGGACCACTCTCGTGGAGATGGTCTCCTCGTCGTCACTCAGGCCCTCGCTCTCCCCCAGCTCCTTGTCCAGCTCCTGGTGGATGTGCTTCAGCACGAAGCACAGGGAGCCCTTGACAATGTGCATCACGTTCTGACAGCTGACCAGGAAGAAGCCTAGCAACACCAGCGTGACCAGGAGCTGCGTGATGAATGTCCACATCCTCCTCGCTGCCCTTTCCTCACCGGCCCGGCCCTCCAGGGACCAGGGACACCAGGGGCCCAGCTGCTTCGGAGACCCAATTTCTCATTCTCCTCTTGGACTCCTGAGGCCCCCAGCAACCCCTTCCATTCCGTCTCTTCCTCTCTTTGCTCTTTATCCCTTATTCTAAACAGGAGGCTGAACGATCTCTCCCGAGTGACTCTCTTAGCTGGGACAGCATGACCCAAATGTCCTTCCTGCCAAAGAGCCTGGGATCTCTCCTCACACCCCAGAGGACGTCAGCCTTCTATAATTTTAGCTCTCAAGCCAGCTGCTGGAGCTGTCCAGCTGGGATGACGGGAGATAGCAGGTGCTGTGTCGTGGGCTCAGGAAGCACATGCCAGGCACTGTAGAGAGGGGGACGGGACTTGCCTATGGGAACCAGAGGGAAACATTCTCATTCGGGGACTCCACAAGACAAGGAGTCCCAAGAATGCGGCTCTGATTGTGGCTCCGTGGGCAGCTGCCGCAGCAACTGGAACGATGCTGACTGGGTCCGGGGCAGGTAACACCCAGGAGAGTTAAGAGCACATTTAAGAAACAGCTCCCGAGGGTGAGCAATTTGTTCAGGCATGGTCAAGCGAACAGGTGCTGCGCCACTGGGAAGCCGGTCTGTCATTCCCGTCAGCCCCGAAGGCCTTCAGCATGGAACTGGTGTTAATTTAAGGCCCATCTCAAAGGCTCTTCTCATGTGTTCAGAGAACGGATTCACAAACACAGTCACGGCAGCAGCTGGGGGGCTGACATTCCGAGTCAGGCCATTCTCCACGGAGCACTGGCTCACCCAGCACAAAGAACTCGGCCTTGGGACACAGCACGCTACAAATCACTCCTAAGGCAGCTCAGGAAAGTCAGTCACCTTTTTCCGTGCCTCAGTTTCCTCACTCATGAGACAAGGGTCACTGTGCTTTCCTGGCTGCTCTTCGGAATGCTACGCGGCTCCCACAGCGGTTGAGGAACACAGCTACTCTGAGTAACAAGGGCAGGCCTACTGCAGTGCTCTGTGCCCTGCGGGCACCCGCCTGCCTCACAGATTAACACAACCACTATCCCACCGCGTTAGGGTCATGTGGCCCTTGCATACTCATTCTGGCCACAAGAATGTGAGACTCGGAACCAAGAGATCTGGACACTCTCAGTTCAGGTTCGATGTGTGACCATGCACACGCATTCGCCCCTGCGCGTGCGCGCGCGCGCGCGCATACACACACACACACACACACACACACACACACACACACACGAAAGTGAACAAACCAGAGAACCAGGGCCGAGCCCCTCGGTGGCTCTCACCTGCACGTCTTGAGAGAAGGTGCTCTCAGATGCCCACAGGCCTGGTTCCTTGCCGGCCTTGGGGCTGTGGGTCTCGGGCGGCCCCCTCTGCACATGCTCCCTTGGAGACACCAGCACCTGCTCATATTCCTGACGTGTGCTGGACTCCGGCCCCGGGGTGGTGGTGGTGACCGTCCTCTGGAATGAGTGTGGGCCTTGCGTGACCTCCTCTTGCCAGGAACTTCTTGCAGCTCCTTGCTGATATGGTACTGCGGGGGAGTCCTGTTTATCCCAGTCCAGTGTTCTAGGGTCCGGGACAGGTGATAGGTGGCCAGGGAGAGAGAAAGGACACTGTTCACCCTCAGTCTCTGCTGTCGGGTGTGCCCCCCTTTTCCTTATGGACCTTGTCTTATCTGGGACACAGCCTGTAGCGTCCTCTACCCCCGAGGCCTGGGAGGCTTGTGACTGGCCCATGGAGATGCCTATGTGGCCGATCTGTGCTTCTCGGTAGAGAGGCTGTGGAGGTCACAGCCCCTCCCTTTACCTGACTTTCTCCCGTCTCTGAGCTCCCCAAGCACTTTGCTCAGTCCCTGGGCTCCCCACAGCCATTCCCTCACACCCTCCAAGCCACACAGTTCTTTTCTGCCCACCTTCTAGGTCACTCACACGTGACAGTCCTCCACTCTCTTCCCTTTCAGATGTGCTCCTTCATGGATTCCAGAGTGCCGCCTGTGTCCAGCGTCTCCCTTCCTCTCTGGTACTCCTCAGGGGCCCCTCAGCCCTTCCTGACTTCCAGGACTACACCTTGGAGAATCCCAGGGCCCACCCCTCAGGTCTCATGCTCACCCTATCCACCGCCTAAGCAAGCTCGTAGTCACGGCTTTAAGACCCCTTGCCGTGTTCCGGGCCTCAGAGCTTGACTCCTTCTTGGGCTTCAGACATATGCCCCAGGTTCCTGCTCTTCACCTCTGCTTTCTGTTCTTATAGGTACATCACAGGGGTCAACGAGTAGAGCCACATGTGTGCTCTGACCACAATGTCTATTCTACCTGACCTCTTCATGGCTTCCCCATAGTTGTTCTGAAGTTCCTGAACGTGCCTGTGTCCTTCCACTCATCCACTGGGGACACATGGGTTCTCATTGCCCCTTTGCTTTTCTCACTGTCCATGTTAGATCAGACAGTAAACCTTTCTGGTTAGACTTTCAAGTCATATCTGGAACCCAACCACTACCTACCTGGTTCTTCTCAAGACTAATGCCAGTTCACTCCTCTCCTCTGGACAAAGCCCTGCTGTGACCCTCTGCCTCACCCAGAGGCAGCCACAGGTTTTGGGGGACCCCACTACCTAACATGTCCAGCTCAGTTCTCCCCCTGCTCTCATTTCCTCTCTGCTCTGCCCGGGAAGCAATGACTTTCTCGTTGTTGATGGCCCCGGAAGCAATGACTTTCGCATTGTCGCTGGTGTAAGCCAGGCACAGTCTGCCTCACAGCCTACACCCCCAGGGTACCATCTCTACACACGTGGCCCACCCTTTCGTTCTTTGCAGTCTTGCTAGACTGTCACCCACTCAGGCCTTCTCTGTCACCTTACCTGTAATTCCCGTCACTTTCCCTTCCACAGACAGACTCACCTGTGCCTTGCTTCCCTGCTTTGCCTTTCTGTTTATCACTTGTAATTACCCAGTAAAATTTCTATTTGTGGGTTGTTTTTACTCTTCTATTTAAATTTTTCTAATTTTTTCCAGTTTTGAGAATATGTGTTATGCATATGTGTATATGTATGTTTACATGTGCTTGGGTGCTCAGGCATGTGTGTGTGTGTGCTCATGTGTGTGTTAGAGACCTGAGATGGATGTCAGGACCCATCCTCCCTTGGTCTTCCACCGTACTCAGTGAGGCAGGTTCTCTGTATCAAACCTGGAGTTTGCTGATGTGGCGGGTTTAGCTAGCCCGCTCGCCATGGGATCCCCGTGTCTCCACCGTCCGAGGCAAGAATTACAGGTGGGTTGTCAAACCCATCCAAGATTTATGTGGATTCTGGGGACTCGAACTCTGGTCCTCAAGTTTGTACAGCTAGCTCTTAAACATTGAGCCATCTGCCTACCTAACGAAATTTCAATTTTAATTACAGTTGTCCCTTAATACCCAAGAGAGACTGGTTCTATGACCCCCATGGATAAAGTCTCTTATGTGAAATGGCATGAGGTTGCTGGGAACCCACACACACCCTCTTCTGTATTTTAGATCACCTGGAGACTGCTTGGAAAGGCTATGTAAGTGGTTGCGCTACTACAACAAGAAATGCCTGCACAAGCTCAGTGCAGCTGCCTTCTACTTCCTCCATATTTAGTTGAAACCATGAGTTTGGAAACCAGGATTACGAAGCCATGGTGACTTCAAAGGGCAGCTACAACTCTAATTTTATTTAAATTGTCTTGTTCCCTGTCAGTATCCCCGCTAGAATATTCCTGCTAGGCAGACATTTCTCTGGTTTCTTCACTGCCTTCTCGTAGGAGCCTGGCGCTTAGTAAATGCTCAGTAAATCTGGGTGAGTGAGGGAGAGAGGGAGGGAGGGAGTGAATGAAATGTACCTGTCCACATTGGATGGCTGACCAAAATCACACACCCAGGAAATGACAGAACCCGCCTATGTGAACCTGCCGGTCTAACAGAGAGGCGGCCGGCAGACGGGAAGTGCTGAACAGGAAGTGGAGGTACCACAGGCATTTCACTGAGCCTTTCAGCCTGTCCAAGTCTTCCCACCAATCGAAGGGTTTCTTTAGAAAGTGAAATGAATTCTTTGCCATCTCCTTGTGCAAACACTTTTCCTCCCACAATGGTCCATACTGAGGACCCCAGGGACGGTAAGGAGGCTTCAGGAGGGAAGAGGGGGAGAGCACTGCCTGGCCAGTCCCGAGCACCTCAGGCGGGTACTGACCCACAGGAGCCACTGTGCTTTAGGGAGCACTCATAAAGCAAAGTGACACGATCAAAGAAACAGCCTCTACATCAGTGTGGACAGACGCACTCAACTCACATCTGCACAGAGAGGGACACTCAACTCATGTCCATGTCCCTCTCTGTCAGCCCTGACCCTTTGTCTACACTCAGCACCGTGCTGGGGTCAGTGTCTACAGAGATATGGGAGTGCTCTGGTGTCAGGAACTCAAAAGCTCTAAGTCCCAAACCCTCTCTGCATTTCTCCTGCTGGGCTCCACTGGCAGGAAACCGGCCTTGGCAGTGCACAGCTCCTTTCTGAGGGCTGGTGGCTTCAGAGGCCTTCCTGTTTTTTTGCCACAGGGCATTTAGAGCACAGGATGAGCAGCAGGGCATCCAAACCTTCACCCAGTGCCAGGAATAGTCAGACCCAAAGCCTAGGAGGACAGAAGGGACCCGTGGACCATTCTTACCTGGCCTGGCTTCTCTCCACAACTTGCCTCACTGAGTGAGAGTCTGTGATTCGGGCATGAACTCGCTGCTGGCCTGAAACAAGAGACACTTCAGTGTCCGTGTCCTGCTCTGTGCCTGAGACCTCCTGCCTCTTCTTTTCTGACCTCTGACCTTCCTCCTGACCTGGCAAATCAGCCAGGCCGTTTGTGGCATCTGAATCCACTGTGTCGTCCTCCACCAAGTCCTGAGAGCCCAGCTCCAGGCCCTGCGGTTCCTCTGAAAGCGCCCCCTCCAACTTCCACTCTTGTGTGGCATCAGAGTCCTCGGCCTTGCTGCACTCCAGAGAGGAGTCCTCAGCAGTGACCAGGGAAGGTGTGAGGCCCGCAGACCACACCTGCATGTCAGACATCTCCAGCATGGTGTCATGCTCCGTGGCCGCCAGGGGGATGGCGTCTATGACGGCCACCTCGTTCCAGTACTGGTCTGCACACAGCGGAGAGGGGAGTGCGTAGTGCAGGGAGGCGGGGGACAGCAGCTCGTCCTGCAGCGAGGAGTAACCTGGAAGGGCAGACAGAGGGCAACATGCTCCAGAAGCGATTTCTGTCACGCGCGCTCACGTGCAGGACCACACACACTTACACACAGGCACGGCCACAGAGAGGCATGCACATTCAGGGCACGGGGCTTTCCAAGCTCCAAGTCCGAAGCTCAGGCCTTGTGGCTAATGCCGGGACACCCTGGCAAGAGAAACAAGGCTCCGAGCTGGATGTGGGCAGCCAAGGGGTGAAGGTAGAGGAGGGGGCTCCTTTGCGGGAGGGCAAAGAAACACAATTGAAATTCATTCTTATCCAGCTCAGAGCACTAGATAAAGAAGGTTTTATCCAAAGGACTTGTGCTCCGATCTGCCCTGACGGATCAGATGAAAAGCCCCAGTCTCCGTGGCGGGCGGAGTAAAGGGCGCTCACTGTTACTCGGTCTTTGGAGTCCTGTTAGGAATGCACCTTGTGGGGAGAGTGCAGCCCACCCAGGGTCAGGGTCAGCAACAAGGCTGCCCTGGAGGGGTCTCACAGGGTACACTGAACATCCACAGACCTCAGTGCGGTGGTCAAGTGGGAAACAGGCTTCTGCTTTGGCATGAAGTGACTTTTCCTCAAGGTGCATATTGCTTCCACAAACTCTGAATGATCTACAGTGGCACAGGTGAGGGTTCTAAGGGGTCAAAAATGGCGCAAGGTCAGAGGGCACCATGGGCTCCAGCACACCTGCCCCGCAGTGCTTCATCCACAGGCCCTGAGCTATCCACCCAGCGCTGGCTCAGCAGCGACACAGTGCGGCTCCGAGTCAGTGGCCTACTCCCATACCTGCTCTCCGCTTTGGAAAGAAGTCCTTGACAGTGTCTGGGTGGCTTTGACCTTGGCTCCCTGGTGTTCGGAAGTGACTGTGAGTGGAGTTTGTGCGTCGGGTGGACGCCAGTGTTCTGTCGGGGGTACTTCAAGCCTCCTGTGCCCAGTTGTCAAAGAGAGGTCCTTTTGATTTCAAGAGAGGAGGCGGCCTTCTACAGACAAGCTTTTCTGTCTGGCACAGTGTGTCAGACAAGCCAGGGAGCTGGCATGCGCCTGCAGTTGCTAAAGATGCAGGAGACACAAAGGCCTCATTCGTGTGTGTGTGTGTGTGCGCGCGCGCGCACGTTAGAGAATGTGCGCTCACGTGTGCAATGGGGTGGGGCCTCAGTGTCTTTAGGAACCTTCTACTGTCTAGTCCTCCAAGCCTCACATTCGCACCCCTCAATCAGCCCCTCCCCAACAGCCACAATCTCTAAGCCTTTATTCTCACACTCCAGGTCTTTGCTCATTCTCTGCGGCCTGACTTGCCTAGTTGCTCTAGCTCCGGGCGCTGGCTCTCCTAAGTTCTCTGCATCACAGCCCCCATCTCCAGTCATCCTCCTTTCTCCACATACTCAGCCGAAACTTATTCACCAACGTCCGATTCCAGGACAGGCACTGTGCTAAAGGGCTAGGACAGACACACATGCACGCACCCGTGCAAGCAGTTTTCTCCTTTAAAACAACGCTTGTAGCGTGGGTCTCCCCGGTAAAGGCTTTCAGCTTTTACGTGTCCGGAAGAATCTCTATTTTTGCTTTAATTTAGTTTCTAACTATTTTTTTTTTCTTTTGAGATGGGGTCTCATTATGTACATGGCTGACCTTGAGTTTGCTATATATGTCAAGCTGTGCCGGAACTTGAGGCCGCCTTTCTGCCCCTTCCTTCTGATTGCTAGGATTACAGGCTCACTACACTTGGATTTTTTCCCAAGTTGGCTTCCTTCAACTTGCTATATAGTTCATGTTGACAGTGAAATTCCATCTTCTCCCTCTTCCTTTTTTGAGACAGAATCTCAACCATGTATCCCTGGCTGGCCTGAAACCCACTGTGTAAGCCAGGCTGGCCTTAAACACAGAGATCTGCCTGCCACTGTATTTCTTGAGTGCTAGGACTAAAGGCATTGCTACACACACACACACACACACATACACACACACACACACACACACACTCCATCCTCCTGCTCCTTCCTATCTCACACTCCTTTTTTTCACCTCCCTCCTGCTGTCCTCTCTGTCATCACTGGGGAGCAGTCCCAACTCTCACATATTCTAGGTACGTATTCTACTGCTGAGCATACTCCAAGCCCTGCCTGTTCTGTCTTCTTTGACAGGTCTTTTGCTTTAAACCCATTGTTTTCTGCTTAGACTGTTTTCTGTGAGACAGGCAGTACCCTTATTTTGGTTCCGTTGTACCAAGTCCCCTTTTGTGCTCACTTTTAGTCAGCTTGCTTATTGCATGCCTCAATATAATTGCTAAAACGCTTCCTGTATATTCATTATTCTTATTTTATCAATGTATTTATAATTTTCATCGAATTCAAAATACTTTAAGCATACACACACATATATACCTATGTATATACATATATATATGTACACACACACATCATTTGAAATGGTCCTAAGCTCAATGATGTTTTTTACATCTTTTCTTTTCTTCCTGTATTTCAGTTTGGAGGGTGTCTGGCAACAGAGCCTTTGTGCATGTAGGGCAAATGCTCTCCTTCCGAATTCCACGTGGAACAACGTTTTGAACATATACTGCAGCTGTTCTGACTGTCCTAACAATCTGCTCATCTGTATTGGTCCTTTTTCCCCACTACTGAATCAGTTTCCCTGCTTCTGGTATCTGGTAACCTTTAACTGGCTGCCAGACATAATGAATTTTACCTTTTGGGGCACTGGATATTTTTGTGCTTTTAGCCATCCTTGATGGCTGCTCTATTAAGCAGTTTGTAAAGCGGTTTGATCCTATTGCATCTTGCTTTCAGGATTTCTTAGGTAGGTCTTACACATTGCTCAAACTTAGCTTAATTATCTCCATTTTCTGAAGCAATGATCATTCTTTGACTGTAAGGAATGTCTCAGTGGCCAGGCTAACCATTGGGAAAAGCTGTTTAGTTCTCAGTCTAAAGGACTCTAGTGTTCTGACTCTCTCTGTTTCTCTTTGTTTTTGACAGGGTTTCTCAGTGTAGCTCTGGAAGTCCTGGAACTCACTTTTTAGACCAGACTTCTCTCTAACTCACAGAGATCTGCCTGCCTCTGCCTCTCGAGCTCTGGGATCAAAGGCGCACACCATTGTTCAGGCTCTTCCTGACCTGTGTCTTCGGAAGTATAGTTGCTTTGGTTTCCATGACCCGAGCAGCCTCTCCTTAACCCAGGGAGACCACCTGTGCTCCTCTAGAAATGCTGTTAAAGCTGAATCTAGGCATCAAAAGGCTCACTTCCTTTGTGTCTCACGAACCTGCCTCATGGGCCACTGACTCTCGCTACCTCATGTCCAATGTCTTGCCAAGTGTTTTCTCATAGATGACTCTCCATATTGGGCAGCATCGTTGAAAAGGGGTGTATGTCTAAGCCTTGGCCAGAAGTGGTGAACATCATAATAAACAGATCGTCAGATACAGCCATTCTGTCAGCCCTGGGAATCTCATCAATAATTCAGGGTGGAGGTCTTCTGCCCCCTGAAACATCAGAGGCTCTGGGGGTTCACTGGTAACTCTTCCACTTTGAGGCTTCCACCATGTTCATCTGAGAGCTGCTTTGATCCTACCTAAGTTCCAGAATTTGATCTCAGGAGGGTCAGATAGCAGTCATACAAGTAAGGCGTGGAGCGGAGGAAGCCAGGGGCCTTCCCCTTCTTTCCTCCTTCCTTCCTTTCTTTCTTCCTCCCTTCCTTGTTTCTTTCTTCCTTCTTCCTTCCTTTCTTTTCTCAAAACACAGGGTTTTCTTCCTGTCCCACTGGGCAGGTCTCTGCAAGGCAGGGAGCAGTTTTTTTATGGTGGAGAGGACCCTTCTCTACTTGCCAGTTATGAGTGGGTTCTGCAGGGCCACAGTGGCTAAGGCCTCCCTCAGTAACATCTGTGCCTGTACCATGTTGTTTTGGCTTTCTGGGTCGAGCGAGTGGAGGGTGGGTTCCAGGTGACCTTTCTCCACAGCTGGTGTGCCCCCATCTATCTCGGGGACCTGGTCCACACCTCCTTCACGTTCTCCAAAGCCAGACTGCGCTTGTAGCTTGCCAAGGACTTCACCCAGCCCAGGTACTTCTTGTCATGGTGGTTGATGGGTGCTTTCACTTGTTTTTAACAGACTGTGAGCACAGAGAGTGGGCCCGGGTTAGAGCCCTCTCTCTTGCCACTTCTGCGGCTCCTCTGGCATCATCTCGATCTTGGTTTATTGAGGAGGTTTTACTTGCAGATCACACCTGCTGTGGCTTCATGAGTAGAGTGAGGGTCGGGAGGGACTCCAGCTGGCCTTTCTTCATATCAGGTTACTGCCCTGTGTCTGTACTGACCCCAAATGCTGTAAACCATCCTCTCCATTCAAAGTTAGTAGCCAACAGACAGCGTGAACATGGTAACCTGTCCCCAGACAGGCGTCATTCTTCACTAGCTGTATTGTTAAAAGTTGTTGTAAATAAAGTACATTTTATTTCCAACTAGACATAACATGTTTCATCAAGACAGATGGAGCTGGTAGGTTTGAGATGCTTGCTTTTTCTTTCTGTGTAACAAATGTTTCAAAAAAATTTTTTTTAGTAGCATGGGGTTATTTTTGTTTTTGTTGTTGTTTTTCTCCTAGGCACTTTTTTCTTTTTGCTTATTCCGTGGGCCTGAGTGGTCCCCTCCTGTGTAGGAGAAGCTAACTGGCCTTTGGGCCAGGTCTCCTTTCTCACAACAGTGCAGGTGTATGGGTCAAGAAAAGCTGTGATGGGAGAAGATTCCCCTCAAATAAGAACCCCACTATCCCCTCCTCACCCTCCTTTTTCTTGAAGGCACCGCCCCATGTCCCTGTGACTTCAGACAGAGACGGGCAGCAGCGTGCAAAGCACTCAGAAACTGAGGTGATGGTGGCAACCTCAGCGAGTGGGTCTTGGCTGCTACCAGGACAGCCACGTGGCTTTATTGGAGGACAACAGAGATGGTTCAGGAGGCTGGTGCCTCGTCCTCCCTGCACTTCTGACCCCTTTTATTCTTTCATTTCTGACCAGAAGGATACCGGATGTGAGACAATCTTTCTGGGATAGGGATGAGGATAGGGCAGCCATATATAAGTCAGTCCTGATCCCCAGTGGGGGGCCAGAAAGGATCAGGCCTAGGATCAATTTATGGTATTTGCTCCCACTGAGGGCAACATGCCTGCAGGGTCCAGACTCTAGGCTCATTAGGCGATCCGTGAAGTTTTAGGTGTAGGCGTGCCGCGCAGAGAAGCCAGAACTAAAGTCTACTGAGCAGGACGAAGGATCCTTTGAAGACGATGTGCTTTTGCTCAAATGCTACCACACAAAGCACAGTGTTCTCCTGACACTTTAGGGTCAGCTCCCCGAGGCCCCTTAGGCCTCCTGCCTTTGCTCTCCCTACCTCCTACAGTTCCAGCTCCTCTGGTTCCTCCCTGTTTGGGAATCCACCAGGCATGCCACCTTTCTGGAGTGTTCTTTCCCTTTTGTTTACATGTGGCTCATTCCCTCATCTTCTCTGTGCGTTTGCTCAAATGCAACTATCCTACCACGCTACTTAATCCGTCAGGCCTGTTATTCTGGCCTGTTTACTCCATGTCACTATGATGCCATATCATGCAACACATTGTATATTCTCGCACATATATCATCTCTCTCGTAAGGGAGATTTCACAAAGGCAGAATTTTGTTTGTCTGTTTTCTCATCTGAGAACCTATTTCACTCCCCTGCCTAGAATGGCACCTAACATGTTAGCTGATGCTTGAAAAATATTTGCCAAGTGGCCTAGCCTACTGCAACTGAGCCCTATCATCAGACACAGAACACACAGAGACTTGGTCCTACTTGTGGACTAGCTGCGACGGAGGCATTAGCACTCGTCTGCAATAACAGAGCCAACAGTCCTTCTTCAGACCCAAGAAAGACCTAAGGGCCTGCCAGTCCCATAAATGTTTAGTTAACCCAAGACACAAAAATAATCAGCGGATTTAATTTGATTGACCTCACATGGGCAATATTAAGAAACCCATGTCACACACCAAAGCTCCGCTGTTTTGTCCCATGTATTGTCCCAAAGCATACAGATGATCTCAGCTTCCCTTCCTTTTCCTTCTGTGAAAGGGGAGCTCCCCATAGGGTTCCGACCAGGTACTAGAGAGCAGCTAAACAGAGAGCTGTGCATCACTGTTCGGGGAACCCTCTGGACCTGAAGAGTGAGTGGGGACACACCCATCAGCAGCCACCATGAGGCAACGCAGACAACACGCCATGCACACGCGACAGATGCCCATGGAGACAGCCGTGAGATGCATGGGGTGGGTGGGGCCAGGAGTCCTCTGTAACATGCATTTGTGAAAACTGACAGTTCTGGACGCTTGGCCAGGTGGAGACAGTGGAGAACAGGAAGTACAAGGGAATGAGTAGTCAGGATGAGGTCAGAGGCAGAAAGAAAAGAGACAGGACATGATCAAGAGATGAGCCCCACACCCGATGGGGCTAGATAGATAGCATGTTTCGGGAGACACAGGACGTGAGAGAGAGAATGGGGAGGTGTGGCATGCTCAGGCCCCACCTGGCAGAAGGAGGCCCTGTGCCCAGCCTAGTCTACAGCTCCCTGCTCCCTGATGGCGACACAGTTTTGACTCACGTGCCCTTGTGTCCAGCATGTACACAGCTGGGGGAAGCCTTTAAAAATAGCAGCGTGGGGAGCGCTGCTGGCACCACATAGCTGTCCACAGTGAGGAACGGGACACCAGAGGAAGACAACATCCCGCAGCTGACAAGTTAGTAAACAGCTTGGGATCTACCCTAATTTCTAAGGATGAAGAGATGACATAGAAGGGCCAGCAGGTGGGAAGGCCTAATGCTCAGACTTCTGGGCCCCCACACTGTGCTGAGGTGGAAGTCGGGCCCCACTCGTGTCCACTGGCCAAAGAGAGGGTGGACAAAGAGAAAGGCCTCAGGACCTCCAGGCCTCTACTCCTTCATGGCAATGGCTGCTTCTATAGCAGCTTGCTGAAGAGTACAGGCCTCAGGCCCAGCTCAGTGGCAAAGGTCAGGGCCTCTTGGGCTTCATCTCCTTGGGCTGGGTCACACTGGGGCTCGCTGCCATGCTGACCCATACTGAGAGTGCAGGGAAACGGATGTGATGAGATAAAAGGGAGAGAATGAAAAGGAAGAGAGACCAGGCTCAAGGAGAGGACACCCTTAGTCCTGAGGGTTCACAGTGGGACTTTAAACACCATCGGTGGACCCCCATTAGCCCTTGGGCCAGAGCCTCCATGTTCCTGGCTTCCTATTCACTGAATATTTCGCAGACAGGGACACAGAGAGGACCCATGCCTTGTGAAGAAGAGTGAAACAGAAAGCTTGGAGATTTAAGGGTGAGAGCCTAGACAACTTCCCAGATTCAAACCCTTTCTTGCCATGACAGGCCCTTCTGGGACCTTGTTGGGGTGGGGGCTGGAGGGCTGGTGGTGAGGGCCTGGGAAGTGCTCCACATGGGCACAGAGGCAGGCAGCCCTGCACAGGTTCAGTGTTATCTGTCTCTCTCCCTTGCCTCTGCTCTCCCCGGCAGGAGGAGTTCATCAGCTGGCAAAACAGTCCTCCCATTAACAGGAGGGGAAGAGACGGTTTGGGGGAAATGAGGTGACATGGGGAAGTGCTGTTAGCACTGGTGGCCAGAAGGCAGGGCCCCAGCTCAGCCCTGGCCGGATCTCACAGGACACTCACCATTCATCTGGGAGGGTGACAATGAATAGTCCCGGTCCCCATGCCTCCGCTCTGGTTTGAGGTTTCGGCTCTGCCTGCCGGAACCTTCCAACATGTTAACAATCTCACTTCGGTCGATGTTCCGCAGGGCTGTGTACAGATTTTCCACTGTCCGGAGAGAAGAGAGGAGGTGCCTGAGCAGCAAATTCAAATGACTCCAGAGCAGCCGGGAATGCTGTGCAGGCCTAACGGGCAGGGGGCAGGAGGAAGTCTGGGGAAGAGAAATAATCTTCCTTTTTGGATAGCTTCTCTTTCATTCAACAGGTCTCTATGAAAAACAAACACTGGCTATTTGTAATTTGTTTTGTTTTGCTTTGCTTCTTTCAATGCTGGGGATGGAGCCCACGGCCTGGCAGGCATGTTCTGGCTTTGCTGAGCACAAGCCAGATGCTCCCTGGCCAACGTGAAGCATCCAAAGGTGCGTGTGCGTACTTGTGCGTGTGTGCAGGTGATAGCTCTACGAATGGTGAGAAAGCAAGGGGAAAGATCTGGCCTCTGGAAGTCCTGATCTACATCAGTGCATGGAGGATGCAGATCGAGCAGGGCAGGATTCTGAAGAGACATCGGAATGAGAGGAGCCCCTCCCCAGACAAGAGCAGGAGGATGTGCCTAAGGGAAGAGAGCCGAAGCAGACTGGGGTAGGCCCACCGGACTCTGCTCTGAGATCATGGCACACGTTTGGTTGAGAAACGCAATAGAACTGCTTCGAAAGCAAGAGTCTTCCATCCTGTGACATTATCCTCGGGGGTCCCGGGCAATTTTTCCCTTGCTGTATGAATGGGGAATACTGAGGGCAAGAGCCACTGGTAATGTTACCTGGTGGAGTTGCCTAGAAACCTCAAGACCGGGGAGGGAGAGGGGAGACAGATAGAGGGAAAACCTGGGGTCAGCAGTAAACTCCAGTGAGGAGTGAACCTATCTAGAAGACAGTTGGCTGAGTGGTACTGACTCTTTGCGTTTTCGCCTTCACGGGCCACCCAGAGGGTCAGCAAGGCTGCACTCTGCTCCAACAAGGAGTTCGGGTTTTCTACACGGATCCGGTTGATGTCTTCCACGCTGAACTGCAGCTCCCGGGCCAGCTCTGCAGGCACAGAACCAAGAGTCAGTATGAGTGACAAGTTTATCGTGGTCCCCATTAAACCCGGGAAGATTTGGTGCTGACTAAAGAAACTCAGATACGCCTCCTTGTGCTCCCAGTGAATGGGGCAGAGAGACAGGCACCGAGTGAGGAGGTGAATGAGGAAATGAAGGGCCGTCCTTTCTTCTTTCGTGACTTCACTGAGGAGGCGATGAGAATGAGCTTTCTCTTCGTACAGGAAAAGCTAGTCTCCAGCCTGCGGGGAGCTATAGCTCAGATTCCCTGCAGTACTGCCTCGCTTGGGTGGCCACTGGCTGTCCCCCAAGGGCTAGAGGATAGACAGGCAGCCTGTGGTTACCACAGCGCGTCCCTGTCGTCATCACTGTGACTCCTCACAGGCGTTAAGAAGGGGAGAGGAGTATATCAGAGTACTTAAGTATGAAGAAGGCCGAAGAGAAGGTGACTGCAAGTCAGACATGCTTCTAACACACACACGCCCCACACCCAGATTATATGCTTGTGTGCAAATGTCCATCTGTGTAGCGCACATACATATATATTCATGGACATGCATAGACACAGTGCACCTTTGCACACCCAAATACACCACACACACACACACACACACCAAGCAGGAGGAGAAATAGCCTAAGGAGTGGCTAGTTCCCAGCTTCTGAATTCCTGTCACACAGGCTCTCAGCAACTTCCTGCTGTGGTGTTGGAGCTGCCTATAGTTGCTTTAGCACCATGCTGGGTGGTTGCACAGGGGATGTCCACCCGCATGGACATTGCAACAAAGAGCAGCACCAGGGAACAAGGCAGTGTACGGGGCCCGAGGCGGCATCAACGTGAGGGGCGATTTCTTCTGCCTCTCTTCAAATCACGTCTGCCCTGCTGTAGCCAGGATGTACCACAGGCCAGAGATAAGAAGGAAAACATCTGAAGGCCTTGCCTCCGCCCCCCACCCCCACCCCGTCCCCTTTCCCACAGCAAGCTGTCCCTGAAAAGGTAATGAGCAGCACTGAGAAGGCAGTGGACACAGCCACAGGATGTGTTTTTTCATCTGTGTGTTTATATTTATTTTTTTGATCTCCTGTGTTCTGTCACCAGCTAGCTACCACCTTGCTCTCTTAAAGCTGGACCCTCACATTCCCAGTGATAAAACAAGGTAAACCAACATGTCCAAAGGCAGCTGTCACATCAAGAGTCGATGCTGTTAAATATAAAATCTGATGTTTATTTTCAAAGGTGTCTCAAGCCAACTTAGGTCCAGCTCAGCTACAAATGAACAGGGAACGCTGGACTCCTGCTACTGTCCTCTAGTCTCACTATTCCCCACCACTCAGACTAGAAGTTGGGAGTGAAACCTGGTATCAGCCAAGCTTGCCTGATAGGCCATGCCCTGGATAATAAACAAGTTAATGTGGAGATGAACCTGGACACAGTTTTGTTGAGTGAAACTCAAATGTAAACAACAGTGAGAAAGATAAAACCCAGATGGCATGTAAGACTGTTCCCTCCTGATTATTAACTAAGGGAACACAGGTCATGGGTTAAGATTTATAAACTCTTTTCTGCACTTATCTAGTTTTCCTGGCAGCCTGGGCTGAAGCTCAACTCGGCAAGATCGTAAAAGAAATGACTGTTTCCCTTGAGCCTCCAATCCTCTTGTTATAAAGTAAGGATACTTGTTTACAGGGGAAACAGACAAACATGGAGGGGGCGGGGAGCTGAGTGCTCCTCACTGTTGCCCAATGGCGTTGCCTATAAACTGGGCCATCACAGACTAGAGACACAATGGATGATGAAGAGAGGGCTGGAGGCCCTTCACCATGGGTCACCCGGGAAGAAGGGAGGACCGAGGGGTTAGGTAGATATGGGGATTTGAGGGGGGTGGTCCTAATTCTATAACTCACCTGCCCAGCTGAGGCCAAGGTGCTCTGTGATGACAGCCATCTTCATATCAGCACGGTCTGTGTCACTGGTAAAACCTGGCAAGACACATTGGATTGCAGTTAGCAGCCTGGGCATGTCACAACATGAATGAGGTGGGTGTGTGGCCCCTGCAGAAGGGTGCTCAGTTTACACAGGGGCCTTCAGACCACTGTCAGGTACAGACCTAAGGGAAGAGCTTTGCCTGCGGCAGACAAACTAAGATAAACTGATACCAGGACACGGTCCTTGACAAGGAAACCATTGACAGATTCCCTCGATGGGAAAGCAACCACATTCTTCTAAGAGCAAGCATGTTAAGGTGCTAAGCAAGGGGGTCCTACCCAGCCGGGACTCGCTGAGAATGCTGTATCGAAGGGCTAGGGGTGTCAGAGTCCTTCTCCTGTCTTCTGCTCCACTGCCCTGCAGAAGACAAAGAAAGGGTGCAAAAGGTTTTTGCATGTACTCCTTTTTAAAGGAGCTGATGCAAGCTTTCATGCTGGGAGGGAAGGGGCATGGTGGTCCATGGCCTGATATATTTTTTAAAAATGTGGTAGCCATTATCGTGCATGAAGCTCCATTTGCTACAGCTGCCTATAAGGCAGGTAGGTACAATTATAGCTTCTATTTCACTGTTGAGGAAACTGACGCAAAGAGAGTAACTTGCACAAGGTCTCCCAGTAGAGACATGGTTTGGATTTAAACTCGGTTTTACTTTCTGGATTCTCTTCTACTCAGTGACTCATTTCTGACACTGACCTGTGGTTTAACTCTAGGGCCTATTATCTCTAGGCATGGAAACTCCCATTTGAGAGAGAAATAGGTTTCCCCTCACCCACAGAAGGAGCAGAGAAATTGAGTCACATATGTGAAAGTGACCTTGCTTTTCTTCTAGGTGACCATGACAGGCTAATGATTCAAAGAACAGCAATGACAGAAATGTGGAGACATTCTGAAGATGCCATCGCTCCAAAGCAAGCAGTACCATGATTAGGGAGCAGAAAAAGGACATTGGTCAAGACTTCTTGTCTGAGCTTGGAAACCAGGGTTTTGAGAGTGGCTAGGGATACCAGGGTCCCCTTATTTGAGGGGCAAGATAGGCAAATAAATTGAAAAGAGGCTTGACAACCTCTGTCTATGAGTAAGTGACCTTGGGCAAGTCCTCATTCAGCTGTACGCCTCAGAGGCTTCAAGAGTAGCAGGTGGGCTCTGTCCTTCTTGTTCTAGGGAGCCTGGCTCCATATGAATAGTCCCAAAAGCACCTGACCCCGACATTTGCTCCTCACATCACATAAGCAGGCTTTATGGTCATGCCAGGGCAAGCTCTCTCCACCTGGCCACCATACAAATGTCTATAGCAGAGCGAGAGCCCTGGAGAGCCTGGGAACTTGAAGTTAGTGCTTCAGAATGAAGACCGGAGCCCTTTGGACGTAAGCGTGTTCCAGGGTCTACCCAGGGAGCTCCAGAGGGACGATGGCAGGCTGCAGCTCACCTTGGTACAGGGGGGCATGGTGATATTCAAGTGGCAGAGGATATGCTGTGTGTCCTCGTACTTCATCGCCTTTCGCAGAAACGACAAGAACCCTCCGGGTTCGCGGCTGCTGTCCCTCACCTAAATTCAATTACACACAAGGACCTTTAGCGGGACCCTTTATGCCTCTAGCCTTGTGTTCTCAGGGGTTCCTGCCTCCCAAACTCCTAGACCAAGAAAAGAGGGTGGCCATAGGAGGCCAGCACCTTCACAGGGATGGCCAAGCGGTTCTCTCGAAATGACTGGAAATGGAAGCTTCGCTGTTGGGCCGCCTTCTTGACAGGCACCAAGTTCCCAGAGAGTTCCGCAAATAGAGGCATTCCTTCCAGAACCTACGGGAAAGGAAAAGCATGCTGAGCTGCTTGTCACGTTCTGGTTTTCCCTCTCCCCTAAACCATCCCTCCCACAGGGGGTGGGGTTATAAGAAACGTCACTTCTTGTTTATGAAAGTGTCATAAATGAGCTGTGCCCCCTTGGTGCAGGCTTGTAAGGAGCACTTTCACATGTTCCCCCGCAAAAAGAACTGTTCCAAGGTTGGTGGTCTCTTAGGACAGCAGGGCATGTCTTCTGAAAAAGTCCTAGGCTATTCTTAGATGTGCTCTTATCTGAAGATGTTTTGTTCATGAGATGTGCTGGAGAGCCTACAAATACTTTTCACACGTAAGGATTCCTTCTATATATGTAATAGCATCAACTGAGGTGTTCTCATGATATCTCACTGTTGAGGAAACTGCGGCTGATAGGCAATAAGTACTCTGACCAGTGAGGGCCAGGGCAGCATCAAACCCAGCCATGCCCAAGTCTCAGCGCTTTTGATACCAAGCCAGCTCTCCTGGTGAGTTCTTTTGTCAACTCCACACAAGCTAGAGTCATGTGAGGAGAGGAAACCGCAATTAAGAAACCCCACCAACCAGGCTGGCCTGTGAGCAAACCTGTGGTGTGTATTTTTGATTAATGACTGACATGAGAGGGCCCTGCCAACTGTGGACAGTGCCACTCCTGGGCAAGGTGGTCCTGGCTTGTATAAGAAAGTAGGCTGAGCAAACCATGAGGAGCAAGCCAGTAAGCAGTGTTCCTCCATGGCTTTTACTTCAGTTCCTGCCTCTAGGTGCCTGACTTGAGTTCTTATCCTGACTTCCTTCCATGATAGACTGTGATACAAACTGTATCACAGATATAAACTGTGATACAGACTATATACTGAAACAAATCCCTCCCTCCCCAAGTTGCTTTTGGTCATGATGTTTTATCACAGTAATAGAAACCCTGATTAAAGGTAGGTCCAGCTAAGATTCAGAGGCCAGGCCCTCGCAGGGTCCCTAGCTTGTCATGTAAATGTGAGAGAGAATCTTAGTATTTGTAATAAGTTCAAATCCAGTTCCCATTCCTTTATATCTCATCTATTTGCTCCCATAGCCCTTGCTTTCCCAGCAGTTACTACACTCCAGGGTTGTGGTAGAGGCAGGGAGTTTGGGTCAACTCCTATGCAGCTTGAGTGTTATCTTAGCCCTCTCTCCCCATCTTGGCTTCCCAAAGTGTACCCTGCAGATAACAAAGATGCCCACAGCTGAGAGAGTTAAACCCCAGTTTATAAGTAAGGCATTTTAAGAAAAAAAAATTTTTTTTTGAAAAATGTGTGTGTGTGTGTGTGTGTGTGTGTGTGCACGTGTGTGTGTGTGTGTGCGCGCGTGTGTGTGCGTGTGTACCACATGCATGCAGGTATCCACAGAGGTCAGAAGAGGGCATTAGATCTTCTGAAGCTGGAATTACAGGTGGTTGTGAGCTGTCTGATGGATGTTGGGAACGAAACCCAGGTTCTCTGCAAGAGCAGTAAGCGCTAACTGCGGGGCTGGTTCTCCAGCCTCGGAAGTTAATTTTAATTGTGCCAGATGCATATGAATTTCAGAAAGTGCCAATTCTTATCATACAAGTCACTAGGCCAGCCATCTGCCACCTCCCTGAGATGCCCTTGGTGTTGGCACTCATGTTTGCCCTAGCCTATCTAAGATGATTCTTGGGAGAAGAGCTGAAGAGGTATATCCCAACAGTCCCTGCTGCTTCAGAGGTAGGACTTCCGGCCTGGACTAGCCATCACGTTCCAGAAGCCAGCCACGAGAGCCACCTTAACCCAGGGCTCTGTTTCCTTGTGTGAAGTGGCTGAGAGCCGTACCTCTATGTCCCTGCTCCGTGCCACCTCCACGAAGTTTTCGTGCTGTTCTAGGGTCTTGTCCACTTTGTCATCTGTCATGCAGTAGCAGCGTAGCCTTCCTTCCCGAGGGTCATTCATCTTGGCAAAAATGACAAACTTGGCCATGTAGGGGACCGCCGTGAGCTCTTTGTACAAGAGGGTGGCGAAGTGTACGGCCTCCGCAGTCCGGGGGCAGTCGGACAGCCAGAACCTGACAGGAGAGGGGGAGCGGTGAGCCGCGCCCCGGCAGCCGCACCCCATCTGGTGGGCCCAGCCTGGGTGAGCCTGCTAGGCCTCGGGGATGAGGACGGTTCCACCAGGCTGGGCCAAGAAGGGTTGAGTCTCACCTGGCTGAGACATTGGTGGTAAAGTTGGCACACTCATTGGCGTACACAAGCTTGGTTGTTCCCGTTATATCTTCCCATTGGGCTTGGTCAGTTCCACCTACAAGGCCAGCAGAAGCAGGGCTGGGGCGGGGGGACTTTTCCACTCATAAGCATAAAACATACCAATGTGCTAAGCACAGGAGAGGAACATCTGAGCGATGCTTGCTCTGTAGCCTGAGCGCTCTACCTCCTTGTGCTCTGCTGTGGCCTCCTCCTTGGGCCATAGACTCTGGTCATTTTTCTGTCATCGCCCGAGGAAGCCATAAGAGGCCTCGGTAGTTGCTGGCTGGCTTTATCTTTTTACCACTCAGTGTCCCCTCCCTTCCCCCTCCTGCAACCAGCCGCCGCCACCAAGGAAGCAGGCACCGAGAGTATCACTTACCAATGACGCTGCACAGAAGGCGCAGGCTGGTGGTGTCGCCCTCCCCGCTGTCCCTGGGGTTGTCGGTCCATGAGGGGGGGAGGGGGATTCGAAGCCCGATGGGACGGTGGAACTTCCGGCGCCTTGGCTCCACAGTGACGATGGGGCTGAATGTGGCCTGGTTCCCCAGGAGCTTGGTCACGAGCTCATCTGGGACAGGCTGGGCCTGTGGGATGCCAAAGGCAGAAGGCTCAGCCCCAGGACAGTCAGCTACTGGCCAGACAGGGTCAGCCAGCCACCCAAGGAGGTGACCACACCCACTGGACTATCCCATAGGCTTGGATGGGAAGGGCGTCCACCTAGGCCTGACCCCATGGCTTAAGTGTCATTGTGAGCCCTTTCTTCCATGTTTTCCTCAGCGCTTTGGCCCATTTCAGACCTTTTGTGGAATCCTTCATGGGGGACACAGCTGGCCGCACTCAGTGGCCACACTGTCTCTAGTTCTTCAGGAAACATCTGCTTTCCTCTTCCTCCCTCCCTCTCTCCCTCCGTTCGTCCATCTGTCCCTCCCTCTCTCCTTCCCTTCTTCCCTCCCTCCTTCCCAGGGTTTCTCTTCAGCTTGGATTCCCCAGGGGCAGGCAGGAACTTCTCCAGAGCCTGACCTCCACTCTCGGCCCTAGGATCGGCAAGGCGGGGCAGCATCACCTGCAGAGCCAGCTTCACTTTCTTGGTGACAGCGTTTTCAGGGAAGGTTGCCTGTACCAGGGGCACCAGCTTGCTTCTCAGGGAGCCCCCTTCGGGACCGATGGTGTCGTAGTCCTGGCAGAGCCGGGACATGATCACGAAGTACAGCGGGAAGTCGGTGGTGATGATGCGGCACACGCGCTTCTTCTCCAGCTCCTCCAGGCTCCCCAGCTCTGCAACCACAAGTTGCCTCAGGCTGAGCTGCCACTGTGGTCCCGGGCGGGGGGGATCTCTACTTCCTAGACATATGGCCTCCTTAGGGGCTTGGCAGTGAGGTGGCCTGGAAGGCTCAGGCTGAGCTATGACTGTGGTCCAAGTGTATCCATGCCCTGGGCATACCCTGTCTCTAGTGGCTTGGTATGGAGATGGCCTATAAGGGGAGGCGTCTGGACCCAGAGGCCCAGGGGAAGAGGCGCTGGCCACAGTGGTGGGGACACATACGTTCACTCACACATCCTGAGGACCCGACCCTTGATGATAAGGACCACTCCCAGCCCCTCTCAGCCTCCCAAAGCCCAGGCAGTGCTGACAGATACCCAAAGTGTGCAACCCCAGATGCCATCTCCCCAAAGCGGGAAGCCCACCCAGAACCCCGGGGGCCCCTTACCCTCATCCATGCCGTTAAGGATCTGGTCCAGGTAGCTTTCTCCATAGCGGCTCTTGTGCTCCTTCCACACAGAGCCGTTCTCGCTCCGCAGAACCACCAGCTCGCGGTCCCCGCGGCCATGGGAGGCAAAATGGGGGATTTCCACAATCACAGGGCTAAGGTAGAACAGAGCAAGTGGTGTGTGTGTGTGTGGGAGGGTGCCATCTAGAGGGACCAGGTGCCTGGGCACAAGGCGGGTGGCAGTGGGCACTGCTTACAGCCAGCAGGGGGAAGGACCTACAGGCCAGGGCTTGTGAAGGAATAGACCTGCCTTGGGCTCCTGAGGCTCCCCAGAGCCCCTCTTACTCTTCCAGGTGGACAGCAGAGCTCAGGTGACCCAAGTGGCCTCCAGGCAGGTGAGAGATGAGTACCTGTGGGTCCTTCCCCTCGAGGGTTTTGAGGACCCTCTGGAATGCCTCCTGGATGAGCACTAAGCCCGGGGCCCCCAAATGGCCAGCTTTTCTCTATTCTCTACTGTAGCAGTCTCACACTCTGAGAGCAGCGGGCTCCTTCAGAGCCAGGCACTGCTTCGTAGGCCTGTTTGTCACCAGAGAAATGAGATGCTGGCCCTGTCTGGGAGGGCTGTCTTAGGAGGCTCGCTGAAGTGGCAGGAACTGGTTGCAGACACTAGCTGCATGCCTTTCCCGGGAGGACATTGCTCACCTGAGGAACTGGGCCCCCGTGGGTCCCAGGGCTATGATCCTGCTGGCAAGGCCCTCTTCCTCAGCCAGTGGGGGTGGTGTGTTCAGCTTCTGGGGCTTAACCAGGCGGCAGGTGATGCGCGTGGGCGCGGCGCATGTTCGAGGAGGGATCACTACCCTCAGGCCGTTATGCCGACTCCCTCTCATGGATCCTCCCCGGGCATCGACCATGAAGCTCACCAGAAACCTAGAAGCAGAGGTAGATCAATGACAGGGCTGACTTGCTTCTCAAAGACAGAAAAGCAATGGGTCTCGGGTCTGTGCAGCGCTTACCCTGTGTGGACGGGGCTAGCCACAGGGCTGATGTTGTCCGAGGTCTCTGTGGCTGGGCTGCTGGGGATGAGTGAGTCCTCATCATACTCTTTAGATGCCTGCAGAAGAGAAAGTCCTGTCTCTTATCCCACCGCCCTCGGACACCCAAACAGGTGCCCAGGACCTGGAGCCCAATGGAAGAAAGCACTTCCACAAATATGAATGTGATCCCCAACGGAGAACGGCCTCAGCTCACCATCAGGGGCTCTCCCTGCTCTGCTCCTCCTCTGCTTGATGCCCCGTCCACCCTTCCCTCCTGCCATCTGAGGGTGCTTTTTCCCTCCAGAGCTGGTTCCAGATCCTGCAGCATCACCTCACGGCTACTTGTCCTATGGGCACTGTCTGTGTAAGGGTCTGTGAGGTGAAGCCATCAGGCTCTGTGGGGCTTCCCGCTCCTCACTGGTCCACGCTCAGAGATGATGGGAGACAACTAAACCCATTTCCTCATATGGAGCCCCAGATGGGCACTTAGAAGTGCAATGTACACCTCCCACTGTGTTTATGCGTTAAGCAAAGAGTTGGGAAGCATGTACAGACCCATGGGTTCTCTCTAGGGGGGTGGAGGGGACCGAAGAGAATGGGATGGTTACAGGACAAGAGTCACTCAAGTCCCCTGGGATTATTCCTGTTGCTTTGACAACATCCAGGGACAATGTCACAGTGGTACCAGGGCCTGTCTGTTTATCTCTAACGTACAGCAAAATCAGTGCCGTATTGTACTGATATCCTAGCACAAAGCAGACCCAGGACTCTGGGTAGTGCTTCCAGACTAATATCCCTTTGTGGAGGAGGGGCGGGGATTCAGCCCACCTTGGCTGTCAGGCCTTAGGGCAGACATGGCCAAACTTCAACGCCATATCAACTCTCTCATCTCCTTAGGAAATGTTCTTGCTTTGGAGAAAAGTGCCCACAGCCTAGTCTTTAATTGGAGGAGATTAAACTGTCTGAGATCATTCTCACCCTCCACCTCTATTTTTTTGGACAAATTCAAGTGGAATGCTAGGTAGGCACAAACCAGGGTCTGTCACGAACAACAATTATACACCCCGGAACTCTTCGGTCAATGTTGGGGTTTCTGGGGGAAGATGAAGAAAGGCACAGCCACCCCTTCAGAGGAAGCTGACATGTCAGAGCTTCGTTGTGCAGGCGGCACCACACGAGGAAGGCTTCTTTCCTGGTCTCACAAGTGCCTGGCCTGAATATCCCCCTGCACCTCTGCATGTTTCTCTCACTCTGAGCCTCTGAGGCTCCCAGAACCCACTGTGGCTATACTGAGTACGCCAACCACCCTGGACTCTACAGAACACATGGAAGCAAGGATCTGAAGGCGCTCTGTGCATGCTGTGAACTTTCATACTCTAGGTCCTGTTGTCCCTGGGTCATCGGAACACAATCACGACTGTCCCACGCCCTCCAACAGGAGGAGACAAGGCGCTCCTTACTTGTTCCTGATCTTCAGATCGGATCACAACAGTCTCGGGTGTGACGCAAGGAATCCTTGGGATGGCTGGAGATTCCACCCTGTCAACCAGGAACATCATGCCATCAGAGAGCAGAATGCTGGAAGCCGACCCTGCCGTCATTCCTGAAAGACCTAAGTGACAGGCCTCAGTACGACTGTCATGATCTGGCTCATTCACCCCTCACCTCCTGTGCTAAAATGACTCCCTTATCTACAAGCCGACCCATGTGCCCTCTGCACCTGGAAGCCTCTCCCCCACAGGCCCTCCCCTAAGCCCCTCTCTCCCTAGGCACACCCGGTCCTGGCTTTCACCTGCATTTCTACTCTGAGTCCTAGAGTTGCACCTGGCCATCCACAGCATGATCCTCCCACCCCCACTGAGCCCATCTTACACTTGGTCTAGCTTCGGCACAAAATCCAACAGCTCTTTCTCCTCACCCACATCCCGGGAGTCCCGCCTTTCAGCCTTCGAGCCAACAAGTTCTTCACCTGAAACCCAGGAGCTCGAGTGAGTGGCAAGCTGGAGACAACAGATCTGTTTTGTTCTTAACAGGCACCTTTTGGGTCCACCTCTCAAGGTCTCCTCAAGAGTGGGGGGCAGTTTTGGTTTCTGAGGCCCCAAGGTCCTGTTAGTCATAGAAATCCCCAGTCTTGTTCTTCCAGTCCTAGAGCCCAGGGTGGCCCAGTTCCTAGACCCTCTGTCTTCCTCTAGGTTTACAGGATGGAAAACAACACAGCCAGAAAGGTTTTTTTTTTGTTGTTGTTCGATGAGTTCGCCATTACATAAGGGCTCTTTCAGAGTATAAAAGAAAGAGTTCGTTATAGATATTCTTTTCTTTTCTTTTCTCTTTTGCTTTCTTTCCCTTTCTTTCTTTCCTTCTTTCTTTCCTTCCTTCCTTCCTCCCTCCCTCCCTCCCTCCCTCCCTCCCTC